GCACCATCTCGATGGCGATCGATTTGGCGGTGGACTGAACGGTGCCCTCGCAGCTGATGAAGACCACCACTTCGTCGCCGTCGGCGAAGAAGCGGGTGGGCTCGAATCTGGTCATGGCGATCTGGCGCTTATCGCGCACCCACGTCAGCACCTGCGCCCTCCCGTTGAGCTGGCCGCCGTAGGGGGCGCCCGTGCAGACGTGCCACTCGGTGTCGTCCGTGGCGAGCGCAGCCATTCCGTCGAAGTCACCAGCGCCAAACCGCCCGTAGATCTCCTTCGCCACGTCGATGTTGGTGGTCATCTTCTTCTTGTCTCCTCTTCTCGCAACACAGCTGGCTCTGTGAAGCGCCGCGAGCAGGGCCCCAGAAAAGGAAAAAGAAGACCTGGACAAAACCGGGAGCCCTCCTCCGTGTGTGCAATATGTGTACATCCGGACTTTTTTTTATCTTTCAACAGATTTATCATCGACTTGCACCGGCGAGGGTGAGCCCAGCTTGGTTGAGCACCGTCGCCTTTGCTTCGGGCCTACACGGCTGGTGCGCCACTGACTTTACTCCCCCTCCCGGCCCGCAACATCAATTCGCCTCGTCTTGACGCTGAGTCACCATCATCTTCTGGACCACAGGGGTTTCTCAGTGATGACCTTTGCCACATTACTTGGCCAGAAGTTTGGTGTGGCACCTGCAATACTACAGAAACGTCTGTGGGGCGACAACTTCTACGATGCTGATGCCAAGAGGTGGTGCGGTTGATGAGACTCCCTGGGCGGTGGTGATGATGGTGGTCGTGGTGGTGATGATGGTGATGGTGGTGGTGGCGCCAGGCGCAAGGCCAACATCTCGCCTACGACTGGCAAGAGGCTGGATCGAGGCTTCTGCTATTTCGTGCTGAGCCCCATCCGCTTCATTCTCACGGCGTGTCTGGGCGGCCCTCTACAAGGCCCTCCTCAAGCTGGGCATTGAGCTCCAGCCTGAAGAGAAGGCTCTCCAGGGCAAGGCCCTCATGAAGTGTGTCATGCCCAAGTTCCTCCATCTTAGCACGGCACAGCACCCATCCTGTCCTCCTTGCACTGCTTGGTTTCTGCTTTCATGATGCTTACCTTCTTGGACCCAAACAGCCCCTGGTGGAGATGATGGTGGCTCATCTGGCCTCACCAGCCGTGGAGCACAAGCAGAACTGACACTGTGTGGAGAGGTATTAATTGATGAATTGCAAAAATTGTTTCTTTTAAATACAAAAAAGGAAAAAGATAATCGTAAAACAAGTTTGTTTGGTTGAAGGGGCACGAGAGACTCAAGCCCGCGGCAGCATACCATGGTTGGGCTTTGCCATTTCCTCCTCCTTCTGGTCGCCTTGGCGTCATGCCTGGCTGCCGTTGTGGCTTCTGCAGCTGGAGGCGACGCTGGCGGTCCCAGGTGGCACGAACTGCTGGAGAGCGCCATTGCAGTGGACACGTCAGACGAGACGGTCGTGAAAGCAGCCCTGGTACACTTGACCTTCTTCCTCCTTTTCTGCCTCACTTCTTCACTTGGCACATGTATCACCCCCTCCGCACTGTCGCAGTACGCGGTCGACCGCGTATCGGAGGCCTATGCCAAGGTGATGGGCTCACCGCACTACATCGCTCGAGTGGCTGCCGAGCCCTATTTTGTGCTGGAGAGCATCCAGAGAGCCTTCCTCAGAGTGCAACCCCCCCTCTCCTCCTCCTGCCTCTTCCACCTCTTGAAGAGAAGAGGAAGAAGAAGAAGTACACTCACCTCCTGGTCCTTGTGGTGGGCCTGGGCGCGCCAGAAGCCGGGAGGCAAGTACTGCCTGGAGCTGGTGTTGAACAACCCCGTGGCCACCTCCAACCTGGGCGCCGTCCAGTACTTGACCGACCGTCTGCGCGCCACCCCCGAGCTCGGCGCCCTCTTCACCCGCTGGCGGTACCGTCACGCCACACACGACGCACACGACGCACACGGCACAACACGACACACGACACGACACGCACGAAGCTGACAGTCGCGGCTCACAGCACAGAGCGAAGGCAGGAGGAGACGCGCTTGAACAACGAGGGCAAGGATGAGCCCTACAGCCCGCTGCAGCCCTTGACGCGCCGCGACAGCGCCAACGCCGACATGCTGCCGCGCCACCTGCGGGCCTTCTTCATGGGCCTCGACCCGATCCAGGACGCCAACCAGCCGGTCCTGCTCGGTGCCACGCCCGAGGTGCATCGCGTGGTGGTCAGCATCGACCCTCTCGACGGCGAGTTCGAAGTGCAGTTCCATCAGCGCGTGAGCCACACGCACGAGCGACAGCAAGACGACGCGGGTGACAAGACTGTTGAGCTTCTTCTTTGAAGAAGAAAAGAGTTGGTAGGCGGTTGGTAGATGAACCTTGTTAAGCTTGCTTGCCTGGCTGCCTTCTCTTCTTGGAGCTGCTGCTGTTGGATGTCTG